GCCCCTCGCACTGTGACTGCTGGATATGGGCACCAGTGACCCACGCAACCCTGAAAAGGAAGAAGCGTGTACAGAAAATGGATGGATGGATGGATGATAATTTAAACTGAAAGAATGAACTTTATTTTACTGTCCACCCAACATATTGGACATTCTGGGGGCCCCTCTTGGAGGAGCTAAATGTTTTAATCTGCCCAACAGCAACTGGCTACAAGTGTAACGTCAGTAAACCCAGACTGAATGAGCTGAGGGCTGACCTGGACAGACTACTGGGAGAACCGGGAGGTCTGCCTGCCTGCTGGCTGGTCTGCTCAGCTGGTTAAAAGTGCTGGTCGCACTAGAACTTTTAAATAAAAAAAATTGGTGTCGTCCTGCTTGCTGCTGCATGTCCCGGAGTCCGTCACTTCCCCCCCTCGCCCCCTCCCTGTCTTTCTTCTGGCTCACTGAGATGTGCACACACACATACACACAGTGCAGACACACAACGTGGTGATGAATTGTCAGTGCTCCTGGAGCTGCTGCAGGTAACGTCAGTCTCATTAACAGAATATCCAATTATTCTTTACAAAGAACCAGAAATAAGTCCACAGGACAGCTGTATTTCTTATGAAAATTTAGCTTTCTGCTTTAGTCACATACAGTATCACAGCTAATGTTAGCAATCACTTTTAGTGATAGCATTAAATCTATTATTGAGTTGTTTTCAATCAGTTAAACTGTATTTTAATCCTAAGATTAAGTCCAAGTCCACTCTGATATTTATTGATTATAATTTACATTCATGAGTCACCAAATATTTCTGTTATTTAGTCTACCTGCTTCAGTACACCTGTTTATAGTAAAGCTTATAAATATTATAATAGTACATTTTTATTATCTTAGCAAGAATAAATTCATCACATTAAAAAAGTTTAAGTTTCTTTTAGAGTTTCTGTATTTTCTGCATAAAAACAGAGCTTCATGGTCAGAAAATGTTTCCTTTTTAACAGTGAAATGATGCAAAGAACAAATAGTGATCAGGTATTTATTTATGTTATTTCATGTTATTATATTGACTTTTTAAAGCTGACTGACGTGGCTATAAAAAAACTAATACTTAATCTATCGTCATGTCTGTTGATGTAGGAGCTGGGTACAGTGAGTCAGGGGCAGCAGGTAGGACAGAGGGTCTCAGTGTCTCAGGTAGGACAGAGGGTCTCAGGTAGGACAGAGGGTCTCAGGTAGGACAGAGGGTCTCAGGTAGGACAGAGGGGAAAAGACAACTCAGTGTTTTTTTGACATCCCCTTTACTTCAAGATGAAAGTCTCTGAGTAGTGAGAGTGTAGCAGTTTTTTTAGCATGTTTACTTGCTTCCTGCAGAATTTTATTTTAACTTGTGAAACAACACAACATGCAAATATATCCTCTGGTATGTTGTGTCAATTCATATATCATTTCAATATTCTTGGTGGGCCACCTTGTCATAAAGTATTTTAAAAACCTAATCATAAAGTATATTAATCACAGAGATCACAGTTTTCAAATGAGAACTTGAACATTTTAAACCAACAAGTTAAAAAAACAATTGATTTATCCAAGAAATTTAAACAACAGATATAAATGAGAGACTAAATCAATACTAATGTTACTTTGGGTGGAACTTTTGTAAATTGAAAAGGAAGAAGACTTCAAACTCAGTTTAGACCATTTCTATTTTTTATGAAAACAATGATATGTTGATATTTTTCCACAACCAATTGCAACTACACCCAACTTCAGATTGCAGAAAAAGTAAACGCTGATGTAACTGAATCTCCGACACGTTTAAAAAAATCTAATTTTTCCTCAAAAATCAACTTTCTCAGCTTTTTCTCGAGCGTTGTTTTCATACTCCGACTGCAGATACTGTTTTTGTTCTTGTATTTCTTTTTTTTAGCTTCTCCTTTAGTTCATTCATCTGTTCTGTCATTTCTCTCTCTTTCTCCTTCCTTTTTCTCTCTCTTTCTCCTTCCTTTTTCTCTCTCTTTCCTCCATCATCCTCTAACAGTCCCTCTTCCTCTTTTCATTTATCTCCTCCCTGACCCTCTTCTCCCTCCCTCTCTCAGCCTGGATCATCTCATTCATTTTCTGCATTTCTTTTTCATATCTTTTCTTCACCCCCTGAACCACTTTTTCTTTCTCTCTGTGGGTTTTCTCCTCCTGCTCCTTCTGGATTCGTGGTTTCTACTCTTCGGTCAGCCTCTCAGCCTCCTGGAACATCTCGTTGGTGTAAATTATATTATTCTATGTACTAGGTTATCAAATCAGGGTCAGTCCAGTCTGTCAACTACAGTTGGCTGTCTGTAGGGATTTTTAAGGTCCAGCAGGTGTCAGTATTCAGTGACACAGTATCAGTAGTTTGGCAATGTGTCAAAACACGTCATGATGCCTCATCTACCCGTTACTAACCATGACATGAACAAAGAGAGCCAATAGTTTCAAACTGTCCCCCTGAGTTTGATTCCCAGGGGAACAGTGTTTGCATGCATTGTATGGAGCTAAATTGGGGCCATAAAGTTTGGCCATAAACTGAAAAACATTTTTGAAACTGAAAAGAAATAAAAAGAGTTGAAACTAGAAAAAGAAAAGTTACAAATTATTTGTCAGATTATAGAGTGAGAGAGTTAGTTAGTTAGTTAGTTAGTTAGTTAGTTAGTTAGTTAGTTAGTTAGTTAGTTAGTTAGTTAGTTAGTTAGTTAGTTAGTTAGTTAGTTAGTTTCAAACTTCTGGCCTTGTTTTGTTGTTGGGGGTGGAGCCTCAGGTGACATGGGGTGTGGCCTGATGACTGACAGCTGAACACAGTGGCTGAAACCAAATATGCTCAGCTGTTGCATTCAGGAACAGAAAATCTGCCCAAAAAGCACCAGAAAATGTGTGAAAACATTCTAGAACAGGGTTATTCAACCGGCGGCCCACGGGCCACATCCGGCCTGTGAGTGACCAAAGTTCGGCCTGCCAATTGGTTCATTCATCTCTTAAGGCCCAACCCCCAGTTTTCTACTTTAATTACTATAAGTTATTTTAGTTAAACATGGACATGTTTGGTATCTACAGAAATGTCAGAATTTTGGCTAGAAGCTGGTAAAACCCATTTCAATAAAAACCCAAGACAGTTAAAACTACAACTACAAACAGTTGAAGATAAAACTATAAAAGTGAAAAGAAAATTGGTTCAAGAATTTGGCAATTGATGTTGGCAATTTAGCAATTCAAATGTTATTTTTGATTTTGATATTGCTTTATAATCACTACTTTTATTACATGGGGTTCTGTATGTTGTATTCATGATTAAATGCAGCAAAATAAACTATTTCAAATGTAACAGATCTCTATAATAGCTGGTTAGTTTCCATGATGACCAACTGCTGGATGTTCTGCCCCTCAGCTGTTGGCCTGCATCAGTTGTGGCCGCCGGAGCAATTTGTATAGCCCTGTTCTAGAAAAACTGTAACGATAAAATGACTCAATTTCCTGTGTTTGTCTCCATCTCTCCATCTTGTGATCACTCATGGTAACACAAGACGTCACAAGGATTCTGCTCCACACAAAACCTGTAATCCTCACCTCACCTCTCTGATGTTGGTTTTTATGGAAATTTTAAAAACTGAACTCATTGTTATCTTTTGTTATTTTTGTTATTTATTAAAATGTAACCTGTTATATAAATTATATCAACTCATAAATGAATGTGTTGGAGTTTTGATGGGATTTCCAGTCTGCTGAGGTGTTCCTGTTTCTTGGAAATGCTGGCAGGGGCAGAGAGAGTTTCATTTTCATTTTAACGGTGTGTGTGCGTGTGCGTTGGCTGAAGACTATAAAGGAAAGTTCTTGTCAGTTCAGTCAGTTTACGTTCATCAGCTTCAACTCTGTTCTTTTGAACAGAAACAGGTTTGGCTTCAGGTGAACAGCTTTGGTGAGTTTAAACTTATTTTTTTTTTAAGTAACTTGAATTAACTTACATCAATTATTCTGTGATCTCTGGGTTAAATCAGTTCTGCTAATGAGAGTGTTTTAAAGAGGATAACCTTAAAGGGATCCATGATTAGTTGTAACATTAGACTTTATTTGATAAACATATATGTAAATATAAAATAGTGTGTAAAAATTAAGGGTTACAACTATAAATATATTTTAAAATAAAACTTAAAATCTAGTCTCTGAATCAGGACAACTATTCTAAAACCAATGTTCTCCACAATAAGATGGAGGTTCTATGGTTCTATACATAAATAAGTTTTTAATTATAAATAATTATATAATAAATATAAAATTAAGTGGCACATTTGGTAAAGTTGTTGCTTCTCAGCAGGAAGGGTGTGAGATCAAATCCCAGCCTGGGACCTGGGACTTTTCTGGGTTGTGT